AGAGGGGGAGAGGGAGAGGGAGCGAGGAAGAGGGAGAAGGAGCGGGAGGAAGGAAGGGAGAGAGGGAGAGGGAGGGAGGGAGAGAGACTGAGTTAGACTCCGACAGACAGAAGATAGGCAGACAAACAAATAAATTGAGAGCAAACGCGACGTAGAAAGTGAGAGAGGGAAACGCGTAAACAAATAGATAAACATTACACGTAAGGCTTCGTACGTCATTTCATTTATTATATACTTACTGAACAGCCATATGTTAATATGGGCTGGGTAGTCTTAAAGCCAGCACGTGTCCGAATTTACGAATTATTTTAAGCGATAAATCTAATAATAATCATATGGTTAATGTAGATTACCATTTGAAAACCTCGTATTGTCGTGGTTACCATAGAATTGTAGGTACTATAATTCTATTACTAGTACTACAATCCGTTCAGAAGTCTGTATCAGTGATGGAACTCTTCCAAAATTGAATTCGGGACGGGAACATTGAAAGAGAATAACTGTACGTTATATAATATATAGACTATCGCTGAACCAGATTAATGGTGTAGATCAAACTGGTGCTGGAGTCCTGAACCAGCAAACCTCTGCTTGTACAAGGCATCCATGCGCTCACTCTGTGCCACTGTGAAGTGCTTCTTCCAGTTACCACACTTCCCTACAAATGACATCGTCATGAACAAGTGTTTTGGATTATTTGAAAGAGAACAAGTACATGAATCTCTTATGTCAGTACAAAATACAGAATATTCCCTGGCCAGCCACACAACTGACACAATTAAGATGCACCCACTCACCTTTTCTGTGAAATGGTGTCTCCCTTTGATGAATTGTTTTCCAGTGGCTGTTATTTAACACGTTGTTTTGCTTCATGCGGCTGAACATTGTTTCTTGTGTAATCTGGTGGATCCGCTCAGAGCTAAGGTCCTTCCCCAAAAACCTGGCCACGCGCGTGACTTCTCTGTGTGGGTCCTGTTTAAAAAGCAGTACGAACGTGGCATGTGAGCCTGCAGTAACCCGCTTGCTACTGTGCATCGCAATATCACAAAAAATTAGAAAAACGATTTTTCTTAAAACGAGAAACGTACATGTGTCTGTACGTACGATACGATGTATATGAATATANGATGCGATGGATGGATGCGATGGATGGATGGATGGATAGACGAGAGACGGACGATGGAGGTTGCAAGGATGAATGAAATGCGATTATGATAGATGGATAGATAGATAGATAGATAGATAGATAGATAGATAGATAGATGGATAGATAGATAGATAGATAGCTAGATAGATGGATGCATGGGTGGATGGATGGATGGATGAATGAATGAATGAATGGATAGATATATAGATGGATAGATAGATTGATGGATGCATAGGTGGATGGATGGATGGATGGATGAATAGATAGATAGATGGATGGATGCATGGGTGGATGGATGGATGGATGGGTGAATGAATGAACGGATAGAAAGATGAATGAATGGATAGATGGACGGATGGATTAATAGAAAGATAGATAACGACTTATTTACCTGCAATAGATCTTCGTACTTTACAAAAAGTATATTGTCCCAGTCACGTCTCTCCCAAAACTCCATGTTGTGAGTAAAATAATCACCAAATGATACTGAAAATTTAGAGAGTATTATTTGAATTATAATTTATTGAATTATTCGAATTAAAAAGCAACAATGTTTGATATCGCATACGACTCTATATAAATCTGTGATGTCATCCATCCATGATAACAAACTTTTCTAGAATAAATTTTATTACTTGCCTATTCCATCAAACCAATTTTCCAAATACTTTTCGAATGACATCTCGAGGTACATGTGTTCAGAGGCTGACCAACAAGAAAAGCCGCTCAAGAACTTGTGATCAGAAACGCACATATCCTTCGGATTTCTTGAGATGTAAACAATCTGTCAGGATAAACATATGCGTAAAGTAAGTCATGGAAAAACAGGTTGCATTCTGATACAGATACATGACAGCGATTCTGCACATATGTAAAATAGGTAATTGATGAGTAGGAATTTAAATCTGTGTTGTTGTGTTGATTGTATTGCATTGTATTGTATTTTATTGTATTGTATTGTATTGTATTGTATTGTATTGTATTGTGTTGTATTTCATTCCATTGTATTGTATTGTATTGTATTATATTGTATTGTGGTATCAATTGCGTGCACTCTACACTGGATACTACATATACTCCAAATACAACGTGCTTGCTTATACATGAGTTCAATTTTATGTCAGTTGTTACGCTCTAAATGGGGCAGATAAGGTTTATGTCTCCCTGGGTACTGCCGGAACGTACCCTGGTAACTCTCTGATATGGTTAGGGTTAGGGTTAGGGTTAGAGCATAGGCGTAGGCGACTCCCTAGACTCGTTAGTAGAGTAGGCGAGGTACAGTTCGGCATATTAGATAGTATCAGGGTACGTTTCGGTATACCGGACCGTACCCAGGGGGAGCAGTACCCAGAAAGACAAAGACCTTACGGGCCTAAATGGGAGACGCCTTTCTCGTGTGGTGGCAAAATTCGTATTTCCTTGGTTTCATTATGAGGGGGAAAATCACGATAGCATATACTACCGAGATCACAGGCTGTGTAATGGGCGTACCTTAGGTGTTTTCCTTTGTTTCGTGATGTCAGGAGACAGTAGATGAAAAGGTATGTGAGTCTTCATAAGTCGGGGAGACGCCATCTTGTTCCAGTCACGAAGTCCGACGTCGGGAGAGCCTTTCAAATCGTTGAAGTCGCTTTTTTGAAGCGGCCATTCTAGCATCGGCACCAGTTCATCGAGACTAGCTGAGCTGTTGCTCATAATAGTAGAGGACGTGTCTGGGTCGCTTGTTACCAACCAGACGATTGCTTGCATCCATGTTGTACCTAGAAACTGACATATCAGCCCTCTCGAATATATACATATAAAGGTCCAAATTTATTTACTGTTATACTGAGAATCTTAATGCATCGTGGTCAAATATGCTGACTAGCGGTGACAATTCACACTTACCGCATTTAGGATACGACGTTACGAAGATGTCGTCATCTCGACATTCCATCGACCGTATGGGAGGCATAAATTTTACCGATCCTTTGTGTAAGTGGATATCCTCATACTTCGCAAGCTGCTCAGGAATATTCAACAGAGTAGAGTCATCAGCTATTTTCTGTGCCATGGTTCGAGTTGGTAATACCTATCGAGCAGAATGGGAGAACGTTACTGAGCAGAAATGTTTCCAGACTGGTTATATATGCAGACAGGCAAGCTTGCAGGCAGGCGGGTGGGGGGGGGGGAGATCGTACGCAACGTATGCAAACAAAGAGCGCGTTTAATAAAAGTGCTGACGTCATTGTCCTCGTGCTTGTCCTCTGTATACGGCTACATGCGACCCCTGGCCGTATCAGCACGTTACCAAAAGCGAGATCAAGTTATAGAGCTACAGAGCTGTCAGTTGTGGTATACGTGCTGGCTGGAACTGTTGTTGGGATGTGTCAGCATAACTTCACGCCGCTACGTTGTAGTATGCGTTCTAAAGTATGTGCCTAACGCAGATAAGGTCTATGCCCCCCTGACCTCTGTTTGACCTGGCTCCTAACCCTAACCTTAACCCTAACCATAACCCTAACCTTATATATATTATATATTATATATAATATATATATATATATATATATATATATATATTAGTCAGAAATAGACTAAACGGTTAGTCAGAAATAGCTAAACGAGCCAGGTCAAACAGAGGTCAGAGGGACATAGACCCTACACGCGTAACTAACGTTCATGAAATGCTGCCCACACTATAGCATCAGGGTGAAAACAAAATATGCTGCCTTGGAGTATATTTGGAGCATATTTCAAATCGTTCAAGTCGCTTTTTTGAAGCGGCCATTCTAGCATCGGCACCAGTTCATCGAGACTAGATGAGCCGTTGCTCATATTAGTAGAGGACGTGTCTGGGTCGGCGGTTACCAACCAGACGATTGCTTGCATCCATGTTTGGATTCAAGGTTGGAGATGCGGTATATTATTACAATTCAACACTGAAGCCAGACAACTCCAAAGTTAGCATCTCCTTGGAAACCATATTTCACCGTTATTAAAGTCATAACGCCCACGAAATGTTTGCTGCAGCACGAGACGACAAGACGCGAGATAACAGCGCATGTCGCCAACCTCCGCGCAGCTCACCCATATCTGCGTTGGGATCAGCCCAATAAAGAAGCCCAAGAACAACAAGAGCAACAGCCGCAAGAGAAACCTACGATTAGCAACGCGCGCCTACCCGGCGGCACCCTCATCCACGGATAGCTCCACCAATGAATCAGACGTTGAGCACTTACAGGAGCAAGAATCATCTGACAATGATTTCAGCGAGAGTGGCTTCATACCCTTAGCAAGGTTATTGCCGGGACACTTTATCCAGGAAGCCGTTCATTCGACTTCGGCTGAATAATAACAGTTTAAATAAACAGGACTCAATTCGCGTCAAACAGCCAAGTGGATTGGAGTGCACGCCTACCAGGTTGCTGAAGCCCTCCAACGAGCTCAAATCAGTAATCAGATTAACTACTAATGATATTTCTGTCATAAACCACTCCTACCCATATACAACAGCAAAGTGCTGCGCAGCATAGGAAGAGTACTGTAGGAGCAGTATTGTATCGAACACTGAGAGTTCACAGCACCTCGTTATTTTAGTCTTTGTTTATTTTTTATTATTCTGTTTAATTCTTTCCAGCCGTACTACAGTGCTACAGCAGGATTACTATATAGAACACGCAGATATAATATATCAGGGATTTAACTGATTATGCGTTAATTAGCGCTAATGAAATTTCGCTACCAAATTATATAACACCAGGGAACCCAACCACTAACCCCCCATTGCACATTCCACATAAAATTATGTTGTAAAATGATGCGCAGACTCTAACTGATTTGGTATTTTCAGGCATAGAAGTGTGTAAAGTTTTGGTAAAGTTAGGTAAGTACGATGTCGTGTAGTTGTGACATTTCGTCAGGTGGCGTAGCCACAGCAACCGGTTTGTCATTTTTGTGTTTGAAATGTGGTCAGACAACTTTGCAGAAATTCGCATCATAGAGCTGGCAAATGTTTCGAGCGGAGCATAGAGCATGAATCTGTAGTTATTTAACATGCATAAAGTGTATGTTGCGTAAACGAAGTAACAGTGTGAGTATTTTTAATTAATTTCTGTTCGATGCTTATTCAGGCCTGCTGCCTATAGACGCCATCTACTGTTGTTTACCACCTTTATGTGATGATTTCACTTGTGTTTACTTTTAAACGTATTATAATTTATGTATTGATTTCATTTTTGTTTAATCCTACTTTCGAAGTGTTACACTTTTATCTCATGCTTGCATTTTTAGTTTAATTGAAATTTCGTTTTTATCTATGTATTTATATATATATATATATGTATATTACTTTACCTTATATTTTTGTTGTTGTGTGATTACACTACGTGATTACGAATTCCTATACATGTAGAACTTGTTCAAATACTTATTACCGTCAATTTTTTTTTTTCAATTTTTTTTTTACGGTATTCACGATTAGTAAATAAGCCTATGTTTATGTTTACGAGTTTTTAACAGCATTTCCGTCTCGTCACTACTTGTGCTAACACCGTGGATGCAAACTACAACAATACGACCATACTCAAACTACTCTAACCGTGGAAAACACCTCCAGCATCAGCCATTACGTTGCTGTTGAGTATTAACCGTGTGACTCGCTACCTCGCATTGTGCGTTGCATTATAACGCTCACAATGTCTAATCATTCTCTACTCTTCCAACAAGTCCTTACCACAGCAGCAACCATGGAAAAAAATATCGTCGTGCCAGATGGCCATGATCTCCACCGCCCTAGAGGCAGCTGATGCAGCAGCCACCCTTGCGAGGAGCAGCACCCGAGAAGGGGAGGAGCCATCACAAGAGGCAGTGACAAGGACACACACCTACACCAACCTTGTGTGGAAGACCATCGACTCCACCTTCCAGTCCACAGCGCGGAGGAATGCTAGAAACACCGTCAACACCGTCATTCCTGAAACTCCCTTGACCGACACCCTGGAGATTGTTTCCGTTGCCGACATCACCATCGCCGACAGCACCGTCATCGACATCACTACCGCTACCGCCACCATCCACCTAGACGTCGCTACCGACACCACCCCGACCATTAGGACCGACTCAACCCACCAGTATCAGCAGGGCCGACTCTTCAAGATTGCTGACTGCCGCCGCTGCCGAGCAGCCAAGAAAACACAAGCTCCAAGAAGACCAGTACTCGCTGTTTCCCCAATGCCACTCTCCGCCACACCTACCCCTCCCGCGACTCCCTCACCTCAGTCACTGATACCCACCCCAGATTATGACTCCTACTATGTTCCCCCCTACCCCTACACTACCGACCCATACACCGGTCCCCAACACCGACCACGACGACTCCCACCCTCCCACTTCAGCCTTTCCGACCGTCGAGACCCATCCTATACCTGGGACAATTACTACACGGACATTGAACATTGACATCGCACAATACCAGATTCCTTAATCTTCTGGAATGAGGACTTGGACCAATACATATCCCGGTAGCGTCCCTAGGAACATCAACGGCGACGACGACGACTATAGCACGACAACACCAAGCGACGGAGATGCACATGACCACACCAACCCCGATGGACGGAGACACTTATGGAGACACCTTTAAGTTGTTCGCTGTAAGATAACAGCTCACAACTTTTCATATGTAAGGGGGTAATGTAATAAAGCAAATTCAGTCGTAATTAGTTATTAGAATTTACACCGGCAGATTCGGTGACAGAGACTGACCGCGGGCGACTAATCAGTCACTCGCCTCATTAGTGTCAAGGCACTGGGCCAGTGGTCAGTTGTGCCCCCTATCTGTGAAAGTTGTGAAAGCTAGCCTTGTTATGTGGACCATATGTAGGCTAACGCGTGACTTACTTAAGTCACGTGGTTCGTCGAGAGTATATAAAAAGGGCCACTTTTGAGCAGAAAAGTCCCAGAGTCGCTTCGCCAGATGTGAGTATTGGTTAGCTGCCTTGTCGTATTGTACATGTGTGTGTAAACTCCTTTGACACTGTGTGCTAAACTCCTTTGATACTGTGTGTAAACTCCTTTGATACCGTGTGCTAAACTACTTTGAGACTACGGTTTATTGTACGACCCGTGTACGTGTCACGCCCCTAGAGGGATTATAACATTTATGTATTACTCGGTGAAAGACTAAATAGAACTAATTGTTACACTTTGTTTCTGTCATACGTTATTCACGTCTGTCTATTAATCGTGTTACCTAATGGTACATCTTACCGCGCCAAAAGGCACGAACCTGGTACACTATACGACATGGGATTCATTACAGACAGGCATACACGCAGGCAGGCGGGCAGGCAGGCAGGCAAGCAGGCAGGCAGGCAGGCAGGTAGGCAAGCAGGCTGTAATACAGAGAAATTAGTATGATAGATAAATATGAAATAGGGCGACACCAAGGATAAAAGGAGTTCTATATATATATATATATAACTGGTAGACAGACCATTGTTAAGGTGGAATAGTTGCTGACCTAGAACGCGTATATATCACGTGGTGACGGCGACAGCCAGTGGCAAACGGGCTGGAGTCGATTGGCCGAGCGAGAACAATAGGTCACGGACTTGCGCACACGGGGAATAAAACCCGCGAACACGAAATGTGCGGGGCTCTCTCGAGAAAATCTATAGTCGCATCCACCAGACATCTCTGCGTTCGTTTGCACGTCATATCAACCGTTTGAATCGTAAGTTACGTTCTATCAGAACGTTCTGGTTCTATCTACCGGTTCTTCTGGTATCTATAGGTTCTTCCGGTTCTTCTGGTTCGTTCTGGAACTATCTGGTTCTATGTACCGCGCACCCTGTGTACGCGCCATGCCCCTTGTGGGATTATAAATTAGTTTAGCAATGATTCATTAAATGTTTTCTCTGCTTTAATACGTACACACCAGTATTATGTTGTTTATGTGTTTTACATGACAGACGTTGTAGCAACAGGTGCATGTACATCACCGACGCGTACCGCTATTACGATTCACGATAGATTAACCAGGTGTTACAAGGCAGGCAAGCAGGCGGACGAGCGGAGAGGCAGGCAGGCAGGCAGGCAGGCAGGTGGGCGGACAGGCAGGCAGGC